TCAATTCAAAAGCTAATGATTGTTATTATGTGGGATATGCTGGACGCACTGCTTATTAAGTTTACAACAAATCCACCAAACAGATCGTGGAGTCATTCGATGTGCGCTGGCTGGTAGAGAACGCGATGGACGCTCAAGTTGGACCAGACTGGTTATTTGATTACACTACTTTGTTTAAATCATTTAATGTGTTTTCAGATGATGTTTCAGGTTCATACTCATGTTCGAGTGCAGTTTTTGAAGATGATGAGGAAGATGTTATCATTAGCTCATTCAAACCATCTGTGGTGATTCCTGAATCTCCTACGATGGATGCAGCTACACCAAGTACACCTCCTTCCTCACCAGTCCAAGAGTCTAGTTCCGACACTGAAGCCACTCCCCTTACTCCCGAAGAAGCTGAGATTCTCTCAAGGGACAATGTAACTGCCACACAAACTTTCATGGAATTTCTCTTTCCAGAGCTGTTCGCAAATGAATTTGTGGCAAATACTTCTCATGATCACAGACCGTCTGAAGAGGATGATTCGGCAGTAGGAAGATTTGACAACATCACAAATCTTCCAGTCACAATCAATGATATCGGCCGTTCAATCCCATCCAGTGTTCAACGCGGTCATCCTATCCATAACATTATTGGTCCACTAGAAAGCGGGGTTCAGACCAGAAGTCGAAGTGGATATGCCAATGAGTGTCTTTACTCGTGCCTCATATCCCAAATTGAACCAAAGAACGTGGACATGGCTCTAAATGAACCGATCTGGGTGGATGCAATGCATGAAGAGCTGAATCAGTTCGTGAAGTTGAAAGTATGGCAGTTGGTAGAGCTAACGAAGGGCAAGAAGTATTTGGATAGACGTTGGGTGTTCAGAAATAAGCAAGATGATAACAGGGTGATTGTGCGCAACAAAGCTCGTTTGGTCGTTCGTGGATTCAGAAAAATATAGGGTATTGGCTACACCGAAGTGTATGCTCCTGTGGCGCATTTGGAAGCCATTTGTATATTCCTAACATACGCTTCCCACATGGGGTTTACGGTTTATCAGATGGATGTCAAGACAACCTTCTTGTACGGAGTCGTGAAGGAGGAGATTTATGTTGATCAACCTCCAGGTTTTGTCAATCCAAAGTTTCCAAATCATGTCTACAAACCGGACAAGGCTCTATATGGTTTGCATCAGGCTCCTAGAGCTTGGTATGCTACCTTAACTGATCATCTGTTGGAGCACGGGTACACAAGGGGAACGATCAATCAGACGTTATTCATCAAAAAATTGGATGCAGATCTGATTGTCGTCCAAATCTACGTAGACGACATCATTTTCAGGTCGACCAGCATAGAGCTATGCAAAGAGTTCGGGAAAGTAATGAAGAAAAGATTTGAGATGAGCTCGTTGGGTGAAATGACAATGTTTCTAGGGTTACAAGTTCGATAGGATTCAGCCGAAGTTTTACTACATCAAGGCAAATATGTGTAAGACATGCTAGAAAAGTTCGGGTTTAAAGATTCAAAAATTGCTTCGACTCCAATGGCAGAAAGACCACTGTTGACGCCAGATCCAGAAGGAGAATCCGTAGATCAAACTGAATGTCGATCGATGATCGGATCTCTGATGTATCTAACTGCCAGCAGACTTGACATCATGTTTTTCGTCTGTCATTGCGCTTGTTATTAGGCTAATCCTAAACTTCCATTTAATTGTTGTTAAAAGGATTTTTAGGTACCTTAAAGGTAGTCCTAAATTGGGTCTTTGGTATCCTAAAAATCCCTAATTTGATTTATATGTTTTTGCTGACAGCAACTATGGAGGTTGTGATTTTGACAGGAAATCTACATCGGGTGGATGCCAGTTCTCTGGGGACCGATTGGTGTCATGTCAATGCAAGAAACAGCAAACAGTGTCAACCTCGACGTCTGAGGCTGAATACGTTGCCGCCTCAGCTTGTTGCTCTCAGGTTATCTCGATTCAACACCAATTGCTGGAACGGTTTGAATTTTCTTGACACCTCCATTTTTTGTGATAATGATGCGGCCATTCAAATTGTCAAAAATTATGTTTAACATTCAAAAACCAAGCACATCAACATTAAAGTTCATTTTATTTGAGACTGTTATGACCGTAAGCTCATTCGTTTGGAACAAATACACACCGATAACAATGTGGCAGATTTGTTCACTAAACCTTTCAGTAAGGCTCGTTTTGATGTGCTTGTGAGTTTTTCTGAAAATGATTTGTTTCAAAGGCTAATTTTTTTTTGTTTAAATTTGCCCATTTATTTTATTTCCTTTCTTCCCTATGCACAAATTTAGGGGTAGAAATCAAAAATAAAAAAAAATTATAAAATCAAAAAAATTCCAAAAATATGTCTTCTTTCGTAAGTGTTCTTGGGAAGTGATATGAAGTTTAGTGTTAAAGGGCGATATGAAATACGTGTAATGCACTGAAGCTGAATTGTTTAAACTCTGTGTTCAATGTGCTGGTGGGCACGAAGGATTCAAAATGAAACGACTAGACACTGTTGACAATGAAAGGACTTGACAGTGTTAACTCATCTGGACTTAGATAGTTACATTTGGACTGACCAAACGACGCTTGGATAGATTGAGTAGTGAGATAAACAAGCGAGCCTGCGAGATACATTAAAGTTACTTATCATCTAGAACTTTGGCTCAACACTTCTTCGACATACAGACTTATGTCCTTAATCCTGGTGCTGATAGGGTGATTGGGGGTTCTGATAAAGTAGGTCTGTATGAAATTGTTTTTCTTTCTTATCCTCTATGTCAGTCATATGTTGCCCACTTTTCGTGATTAGAAGAGATCCGACATGGGACGCAACATATGCATCTCTATTTCTATGCATCTCTCTATATATCTATGACAGTCATATGTTGTCCCTTCTGCGTGATTGGAAGAGATCCGACCTGGGACACAACATATGGACCTTTCATCTCTCTATCCCTTTATCTATGTTAGTCATATGTTGTCCCTTTGCGTGATTGGAAGAGATCCGACCTGGGATAAAACATACGCATCTCTATATCTATCTTCTCTCTCAAATAATTGAACACTCACCTAAAGTAAAGAGCTCTTTGAAATTCCTTGATTGCTAGGGTATGTCGTAAAGTGAGGAACACGTTCTACTGCGCTTAAAATTGAATTGGTTCCTGACTAATGGTTGACAGTAGATCTTGCTGCTGAATTTAAGTAGACAACAATATCCTTGGTCGTCGTCAGGAAAATGGACTATTTAGGAATATAATCGCAATGTCATTTCACTTATAATCTGTCTAACTTGCAAATATCATTTGTGTTTAAGTGGACCACAATATTGGTGATTGACCAGAGATATCCATGCAGGTGTGTGCTGATAAACGATATTAAATTGCTTGACAACTTTTGATCCTAAAAGTTTTAAATTTAGTTATTAAAATGAGTTTATTTTATTTTATTTTATTTTTGTTTCTAAAATTTTTATTTTTATTTTGCATTTAATTTGCATTCATTTCAAATTTTAAATTTTAGTTTTATTTTATTTCCATTTTTAATCTAAGAAATGAATTATCGAAATCGATTTTAAATGATTTGTTAAATAGATTTTCTTTTGGGGCCCACCGAATTCGGTAGCCCAAGGGCCGAGAACCCATTTTAGGATTTAATAGGGGTTTTTTGTTTCAATTTCATTACGGTCGCCGAAATCACTTTCTTTCTCTCATAACCTAAGCGAAAACCTCTTTTGTTCACTGTTCATCTGTTCATCTTCATTCTCGGCTCAAATCATCAAATTTTTCTTTGATTCTTTGCAATTTTGACTAGGTATGTGGATTTCAAGTAGCATGCTTCAGTTTTTATGTCCTTTCTTGGAGTTTTTCCTGGTGTTCAAAGGGTTTCCGGCGAGCTTAGCGGTGGTTTTCCGGAAAAATTATTAAGGGTTTCAAAAATTCGAAACGTCGGGTTTTCAGTTTGACCCAGGTCCGACCGAAATCGATCGAATTTGACCCGGATCCGACTGAAAACAACTTAATCTGACCGAAAACATCATTCTTTGACCGAAATCTCAAGTTTGACCGAAATCACTTACTTATGACCGAAATCAACATTTTCGGCCAAACTTTGAATTTTTGAGAAAATAAAATTTTAATTTTAATTTTTATTGTTCTCACTTGGCTCGTTTGATGCAGATAAATGGCAGATCAGTTGAAGTTTGTTGATTCTCACAATATCGTTGGATATCTCTTGGATCCACCTGCCGTGCACAATGAATTCAAATCCATGATCGTGGGTTTAACAATTGCAGAATTTCCCATGCTCTACGTGTCAATCCAGTCGTACGCTAGGACCGGATTAATGTTTTTTGGAGGAATGCATCGTTCAACTATGCAGGAGCGGATGGTGCTGGTGTTATTGAATCCTCTGTGAAAGGCAAGCGGATTATTATTACAGAGCAAGTCCTTCAGGAAGTCCTTCAGTTTGGAGATCAGCCTGCTTTCCCAATAGAACTCCATGCTGCCAAGATCACAGAAGTATTAAAGAAGATGAATTATGGAGGAATTTTTCCTCCAATAGACAAGAAGATACTTCCCCTTTACTGGAGATTTTTGGCCCATACTTTTGTTACCTGCATCTCTGGAAAAAAAGGGCGGGTCGGACGAGATAAGCCAAACAACAACATCAGCCTTTGTAGCGCTAACAATGGACTGGGAGTACAATTTCTCAAAATTAGTTTTTGATGAAATGAGGAGTAACCTTTCTGGGTAAAAGAAGGATCTTTTATTGATGTATCCTTGGTTTTTACAAATGATATTTGATGCCATGCATCTTGAACCGAAAAGAATCCCCGATACTCTTGATGTCAAATCCCTGGGTCCAAACACCTTTAGACTCATGAAGCAAGTATGGAAAGCACAAAAGGTTGCTTTCAGTAGAACATAAGCACTGGTGAAATTTGGAAAATTCGCAGAGAGAGAAGGTGTTCAAACTGCTGGTACTCCAATTGCTATGGTGGCCGAGGAACATGTGGCACCATCAAAATCAAATATCGGTTTTTCATTTGAGGTTTCTGATGATGATGATGATGATGAGGAGGAGGAGGAGGATGTTCTTGTGTTTGAACCATCGAAGGAGCCAGTCAATGAGGCTGTGATTTCTCCAGTTGAGACAGAGAAAGAAATCAACATTTTCAAGCAACCAAACAATCCAATGCTCGAACAGATGGAAGCCCTTATCGAAAAATTACAATCAACCGCGAGGAAGCCTCCCCAAGCAGTTCCTGTTACTACCGAGTCTCCATCTAAGAGTGATAAAGACGATTCAAATGCCTCCCTGACGCCAAGAAAGAGAAGACATAGAGATCTAAGGCCGTGAATGCTTATTACTGAACCAGTACAACAGCTAACCTCAAATGTTGAACCAACCCGGGTTAATCAAGATGATCAAATCCCAATTTTTTAGGAAGACTTCTTAGCTAATGAGGAAACTTTTGCCTTGGGAAGCTCTTCTGCCCCACCACCTCCAGAGCACGATTCTGCATCTGTCAAGTTAGCCAAGCTACTTGCTTTTCAAGACTCTATTCCTCAGTCAAGAGGAAAGGGAATATCTATTAGCTCAGGGAAAGGAGGTGATGAAGACTCTCAACAAACCATTTCCGAGCTCAAACAAGAGATCATAATTTTGAAGTATGAGCCCATTGAGAAGGACTTGCTAATTGGCAATTTTGATGTGAGACTTTATGAGCTTGAAATAGAAAATTCTCAAAAGAGTAAGCAGATCTCATACCTTCAAGCCAATCTTGGCGGGTTGAAAGCTCTTTATTTTGATCCCAAAGACAAATTAATTGATAAATTTGGTGATGAGTTCAAGACTTCAGGTTCTGATGATGGAAAAGTTTCAGAGACATCTGAAAGAGTCGTGGTTTGTCCTGCCCCAGATTCTAACCTTGATCAATTTCTGTCTTCTGGCCCTGTCACAGCTGAAGAAAGAAGGGAGAAGCAGAGAAAATTTGATAAGCTGAGGAAAGAAAAAATGCTTCTGATCAAAATCTCTGATCAAAATGCACCTGGTGATCACCCAAAGATGTTTATTAAAGAAATTGGAAAGAGAAAATTTGCTAACAGATGTAACATCCGGATTTCCAGGTATAATAAAATAAGTATTATTTTCTAAGTTATGAGGAGTGACTCGACGAGTTGGCGCCTTAACTCGTCGAGTAGGATCACGACTTGGTGACGTGGAAAATGAATGGACTTGACGAGTCGACAAGCTGACTCGTCGAGTCAGCGCTGTTGGCAGAAACCCTAATTATTTCGGGCTTGGGCCTATTTAAAGGCACTTATAGCCTCCTTGGCCCTTCCCACCAGTGTCTTCGTCCCTTGAGAGAAACCCTAGAGTTATTGTGAGCTAGAGAGGAAAGAGGCTAATTGGAGGTCATTTCTTTAAAGAAGAAGGTCAAGAGTGTTGCAAGGATCTCAGAGGAGAGTTGGTGGATCAGCTTCATCTTCATTCAAGCTTCATATCTGCTACAAGCTCTTGTCTCCCTGGTGTTTGAATAGATTTCCTTTGGTTGTTGAGTTAGGGCTTGTATCACCATTTGGATGGGGTTTTGGGTGCATCCAAACCCCTTTTCGGGTTATTTTGTAAATCTGGACCTTGTGAGGTCCAGAGAACCAGAAAGTAGGTAGCTTTGATTGAGTAACTTTGGAACCTTGAAGCCATGAAGCTTCAATGGAGTCATAATGGTGTATAGAGCAAAATACACCATGCATGAGCCTCAAGTTCAGACCTTTACGTGATTTTTGGGTGTTAGAAGGTCAGATCTATAAGTTAGAGAAACAGATCTAACCTCAGAAGGCCAAATGAGTATTACCATGGAGGAAACTCGACGAGTCCATGAGAGAACTCGACGAGTCGGATCGGTTTACCCCGCGATTCGTGATCAGTGGTAACCCGTCGTGTGAAAGGTTAACTCGACGAGTCGAGTGAGGCCTTAGGAGGAATCATAGGACACGCATGGACTCGCCGAGTCACCCGAGTGCACTCGACGAGTCTGATCAAAGTTGGACCATGGACTGGGTTGACTTCAGTTGACCTTGGGGGCTTGGTCACTGATTCAAGAGAGGCCATGGAGGGGTAGAATGGTCTTCTACCCATTCTTTAGAGATGAGAACATGAGGAGAGTATTGATTAGAGATATTATCATTTTGATAGGCGGAGGCTACGTCGGGGATATCGAGCACGAGAGTTTTACTAGACATCATACGAGGTGAGTCTTCTCACTATACATTACCTAGAGTGGTATCAATGTGCAGACCGGAGGGTCTTATGTGTTATGTGTTTACTTGAGATTACGTGTATTGTGATTTATGTTTGCTATGTGATATTTAGACCGGATCGGAGGGTCCAACAATTTAGACCAGACCAGAGGGTCCAACGAGCTAGACCGGACCGGAGGGTCCAACGAGCTACGGGACTGGAGGGACCCGCTGAGACACATTGACCAGATGGTCTTATCAAATTATAGCCTCGAGTGGCTTATGTGCTGTATGTGGTATTTTGGGGAACTCACTAAGCATTTATGCTTACCGTGTTATGTGATATGTGTTTCAGGTACTAGCAAGGATCGCGGGAAGGCGCCGACATGATTTGTACACACTGGCAGAGGATTATGTTTTTGAGATTCTGGGATATGTTTATTGTGATGATATTTGATACACATGAGATTTTGAGAGTATTATATGAGTTTTATTGTGTTTGAAAAATGAAAAATTGTTTAAAAATTTACGTTGTTACAACATATATGGTGATCGTTCTGGAATTATTATGTGGGGATATGAAGCTGATAAGAAGATGTGGATTGTAAAGAGAAAGAGCAGAAACATTGAGTACTATGCGAAGAAGATTGACTTTGTGTCTTGGACAAAAGTTAATCTTACAGAGCTGGTCCACGCACCATTCCTCAATACAACAAATGAACCCATGGCATGGGCATTTAAGAAGTTCCTAGAAGACAAAGCGAAGCAGAACTTTGAAGGCTTGAAAACAGTGTCATCATTCATTAAAAAAGTCAAGGGTGTTATTGATCCTCACACCAACAAGACTATGGTGAATGTTATGTGGCCGCCTACAAATAAAGCGAAAAGGATCCCTATCACCCAGCGTGTACCTGATGGCTCTTTGAATGATTTACTATATTGGGTATATGATGAGACTACAACGACTATCGTAATCAAGTTGAAAAAGGATTAGATTCGTCTTGTTGATCCTAGGGAATTGATGAAATTTGGCGAGCATGACATTCATACTTTATCCAAACATCAGCTTGTGATGGAAAATGAAATGTTTGACGCTACTGCAAAGGCTTTCACCGGCATGATAGCGACAATCATTGATAAGACGCTGTGGGCAAGAGCGTTGGCTGATTCTGATGTTCATCTTGTGGAGAAGCCGTAAAGTCAGCCAGTAATAAACCAAGGGGGCATTGTTGGGTCATATTTAAATGGTTTATGTTGGGTTTCTAGTTTATTATTGTACTTGGGCTTAGGAATGTTTATTGTTAGTGGGCTTATGGTGTTTTTGGTTATGGGGACCGAAATCACATAGTGATTTCGGTCAGCTTGGGTTTGGGTCTGTTAAGGCTTTGTACTAGGTTTGTATAAATAGCTTTTCAGCTGTTTAGGAGTTCTAGTTGTTCATCATTATTATATTCGGTTGTTAAGAAGTTCTTGGTGTACTAGTCAATTTCAACTAATAAATCATGTGCATTAAGAGTTATTTGTGTGTTCTTGAATCACTATCTGATTTATATTCCACATTCTTTAGATAGTTTGATTGATATCATATTGATCTAAGTGTTTTGGGACTTACATTTAGGCCTATGTTGGACCACCCAATGATTGTCTTCATCGATGATATCTTGGTCTATTCGAAGACCAGAGAGAAGCATGAGGAGCATTTGCACGAGATTCTGGAGGTTCTGAGGATAGATAGGCTATACACCAAGTTGTACAAGTGTGAGTTCTAGTTGTGGGAGGTTGATTTTCTCGGATACCTCATCAATCAGAACGGTAACTTGGTTGACCCAACCAAGATAGAGGTGGTTATGCGATGGCAGGTTCCGAAGTCTCCATCTGAGATTTGAAGTATCCTCGGTTTGGCGGGATATTATCGGAGATTCATTCGAGACTTCTCCAAGATTACAGTTCCTCTCATTAAGTTGACGTGGAATGATGTTGTGTTTAGTTGGGGGACTGAGCAGCAGGCATCGTTCGAGACTCTTCGGCAGAGACTTTATGTGGCGCCGGTACTTGCCCTACCTGAGGGAGTTGAGGATTTTGTGGTCCATTATTATGCATCCATCTCGGGATTGAGTGTTGTGTTGATGCAGAGAGGGCATGTGATTGTATATGCTTCAAGGCAGCTGAAGCCTCATGAGGCGAAATATCCCACCCATAATCTTGAGTTGGGGGCGGTGGTTTTCGCCCTCAATATTTGGCCTCATTATCTTTACAGGGTTTGGTGTACTATCTACATGAACCATAAGAATCTGTGATATCTTATGCATCAGCCTAACTTGAACATGAGACAGAGGAGGTGGCTCGATGCAGTAAAATATTATGATTATGAGATTCTGTATCACCCGGGCAAGGACAGTGTGGTGGTCGACGCCTTGAGCTGGAGGACAGTCAGTACCTTGATTCAGGATGAGTGTTTGAGGATGACCGTGATGACTCCAATCATGGAGATGATCAGATATGTGCAGTCGGAGGCCATCAAGGAGGAAAATCGGAAGAGTGAGGGGGTGGTTGGTCAGGTTTCAGCCTTTGATGTCGATAGCAGGGGATTATTGACACTTCATGTTCGAGTTTGGGTATCGTATACTGGTGGGGCTCGATAAGTGTTGATGGATAACATCCACAAGTCAAGATTTTCCATTCATCCGGGGGCTACAAATATGTATCTTGACCTGAAACATGGCTATTGGTGGCTGTGTATAAAGAAGGATGTGGCATGGTTCGTGGAGCGGTGCTAGACCTGCCGGAAGACAAGGTCGAACATCAGCGCCATCATGGCAAGTTGCAGCCCTTGGAGGCCCCACTGTGGAAGTGGGAGCAGATTACGATGGATTTCATTCGGAAGTTGCCAAAGACTACGAAAGGTTTTGATGCTATCTGGATGATAGTTGACCATTTGACGAAGGGTGCTCACTTTCTAGCCATTTGTGAGAGCTCTTCTACCGAGAAATTGGCCAAAATTTATGTCTGAGAGGTAGTGGCTCGCCATGGTGTGCCGACTTCTATTATGTCAGACTGGGATGTTCGTTTCACTTCCAGATTTTGGAAGAGGTTTCATGTGGAGTTGGGTACCCGATT